TTTTCTCGCTCGAATTGTAAATTACTTGAATATTGGGATTGTTATTTGGACAACGTGCTTGCATGTGTGTTTTCTTGGCCTCACGAGCGTTTCGCTCACCCCGTAGATTTGTTTTCCTTAACAGGAATGGATGGAGTGAAACTCGTTGGAACCCTTTGGATGTACTTTTGTATTAGGGTTTCAATTGTAATTGACTAGACATTTTGGCTATTGTATATATTTGGGAATTGATGTATCGTTTGGATCCTGACGTAAGAATTGGATAACGGATGTATTTTGAACACGTGGTACAAGACTTGGATATTCGTTTATGGAAGCGATTTTTCCTTATTAGACTGGTATAAATTGTTATATATTGTTAAGTTTGAATTGATTTGTCTCGAGTCCTGGCGAGAGCTAGGCAGGCGTTCCGCGGATACCCTTGGGTTCGCCCTTGGGAGAAGTGGGGGCGTCACAGTATATGTGTGTTTCATTGGTAGGATTTTGGGTTGGAAAACTGGTATAAGAACCATAGAAACAGACCGTGCGGTTGCGGCGCGCAAAACCGGCAAAACTGGAAATCAGGGCAGTTCAACATCCGAACTCTGGCTTCATTTTTCTTGTTGTTACGTATGGATTCAGAAGTTTCTCAAAACATGAAAGTTGTAGCCTATTATGTTCTGAATGTTCTTGTAAAATTTCAGGTCAAACGGATTAGTGTATCCTGAGTTATAGACAAAACACTCATGCCTGTTTTGAACATTGGTTTGTGCTGCGTTTTGAAGTCAGCCTCTTACCGTGCATTTTTTTCCGTTTTTATTCCGTACGATATGGGTGTCAAATCCTTCATAAGAAATGTAGATCTTGGTTTTAGCTTCGAAACGGTATAAAGTACATCGAAATCCGAGTTCCGTAGCTCCTGTTATGACCAAAACAAGATCGATCGTCAGAACTGCCTTGAATCTAGACAGTTCTGACGGGTACTTTGACACTCAACTTTCGTTCTGTTCTGAATGGATTCAGGTCTTGGCCAAAACATCAAAGTTTTATATTTATATCTCATCTTTCTAATGCCTTTGGAATTTCCTGATTTAGATTTGTGATCTGGGAGTTATGCTCCAGCAAACATACCCTGTTCGTTACTCTAGAGTGCGAATTCCTGGAACGGTTTTCTGTACTTTCGACCTATTTCCGTTTAGATCCGGGTTGAGGTGTCTTCATGAAAACTGTAACCCTTCCTCTTAGATTCGTAACGGTACCTCATGTACCTTGATCCGACACTCGTAACTTCAATTAGGCTCAAAACAGTTTTGACGGCAAAGCGATTAGGTTACCATTTCCGTTTCCGTATGCCGTTTCCGCACTCGTAAGTGCCGATTTTGCCGTTTGGCTTGTTTTTGGTATATTAGTAGCCTTTTATGATATTATGTGACGCAATCTTCTATTTCAGACGGTGGTGAGCTAGGTGGAGCCGGTGGGGCCTACTAGCTACTCCTCGCGGCACAAATTTCGAACTTTTTGTTCTTTTGTTCGTTTGTTCGTTGGGTAAGTATTCAGGCCGCTCTTATGTGTTAGTTGCTTATGTGTTTCGATATGTATGAAAAGTGTACCTAGGCGAGGGTGTACTTTATCGCACTCGACCTAAACCCTAATTTACGCACATATTTGTACATGGCATATGTATATAAATCATTTTGGAACGAAACCCCTTGAGCTTGTGGCTCAGGGTGACTTTTGAGTAAATTTTGTGAAGTTTGTGAGTTTGGGCCCCGATCTCATGACCTAGATGGACTATTCGAGCCCGTTAGGGCTTGGTCGGAGTCAGTCCAACCTGGTTTGAGGTCACCAAGTTTGTGAATCCGGTTCACCGATTATGTGGACCAAGTTTGTGACCCGAGCTTGTGAACCAAGCTCAATTTCGTTCGCTCGAGCAAGTTTGTGAGGTGTCTGGCCAGAGAGGGTGATAAGGTGTACGGTGGGAGTACAAGTGAAGTTCTACGGACCATTATTTGTGGTCGACGGAGTGTCGGCAGGAGGTCACACATGGCAAACGATCTGGCTTTGGAGCCACCTGTATCCTTATTATGTGATGTTACTTTTCTGCTTTTACTTTACTCTTACTATGTAACTGTTGTTACGTGAAATTTACGTTTTTGCCCCTGTTTACTTACTAAGCATATAGTTTACCCCTTTTCTTTCGTTTTCCTTAGCAGGGGCCGACGCGGGGACTTTTGGCACATACACTAGTATAGTTAGATTTGCATGTAATAGTTGGACAAGTACGATGTTTGTTTTAGTTTTGGTGATTTGTATAAGGACCCTCCTTAGGGTCTACTCTTTGGTTTTGGTTATATTCATAAGTATGTAATGGGATAATTAGAACTTATTTTGGGATTGTATATATTATGTATATAGTGCTCTTTCGGTTTATCTCGTGTTATTGCTTTAAGTTTCGAGTCCTGGCGCGAGCTAGGCAGGCGGCCCGCCGATACCCTCGGGTTCGCCCTTGAGAGAAGTGGGGTCGTCACAGCCGAGCACCAGATTTCAAGTTGCCCTAATGCCTCCAAGAAAGGAGGAAATACCCAACAGCCTGCTAGGTCTGCTTGAAAGCAGTCAAGTGCCAGAGGGAGTCAACCGAAAGTGCCAGCTAGGGTTTACGCCTTAGACAATCAGCAAATTCCTAACCAAACTGAAGTGATGGAAGGTACGATTCCTGTTTTTCATCGCTTAGCTAGAGTTTAAATTGATCCTAGGGCAACTCATTCTTTCGTAGATCCTAACTTTATGAAGGGTGTAGATGTAAAGTATGATTTCTTGCCTTTTGATTTGAAAGTTAAGACTCCTACGGGGAACCAATGCCTGATTGCTAATAAAGTTTATAGAAATTGTGAGATTTAGGTTGGTGAGAGAAGATTTTTGGCGGATTTAATGAGTTTAGCAATTAAGGGGTATGATGTGATACTTGGGATGGATTGGTTAACTCGATACCATACTCAATTGGATTGTAAGATGAAACTAGTAGAGTTGCATATTCCTGGGGAAGCAACTTTGAAATTAGATGTGAGAGGTATACTAGCATCGTCTGCTTTAATCTCGGCGATTCGAGTTAGGAAATTATTGAGTAGTGAAACTAAAGGATATCTAGCCTTTCTTATCAATACACTTGGGGATAAGGTGAAATTGAAAAACGTGCCGGTAGTGAAAGAGTTTACCAACGTCTTTCCCGAGAAATTAGAGACGTTACCTCCAGAGAGGGAAATAGTGTTTAAGATTGATGTGGCTCCAGAAACAAACCCTATCTTTAAAACACCTTATAGGACGACTCCAGCTGAATTAAAGGAATTGAAATTGCAATTACAAGATTTATTAGGAAGAGGTTTTATCAAAGAAAGTGACTCACCGTAGAGAGCTCTAGTGCTTTTTCGTTAAGAAGAAATATGGGAGTTTGAGGCTATGCATAGATTATCAAGACTTGAATGACGTGACCAATAAGAACAAATACCCTCTACCTCACATAGATGAACTATTTGAGTAGTTGCAAAGGGCAGTGGTATTTTCCAAGTTAGTTTTGAGGCAAGGATATTACCAATTGAGGATCCCAGAAACTGGTGTGCCTAAGACCGCTTTCAATTCAAGATATGGGCACTTTTGAATTTGCAGTTATGCCCTTTGGGTTAACTAATACGCTAACAGCGTTTATGGACTTGATGCATCGGGTTTTTAGGCCAAATTTGGATTAATTTGTGGTGGTATTCATCGATGACATATTAGTGTACTCTAAGTTCCGAGAAGATCATGAACGGTACTTGAGAATAGTTTTGCAAACCCTGAGAGAGTACAAACTTTTTGCTAAGTTCAATAAATGTGAGTTTTGGTTGGAAGAATTAGCCTTTTTAGGTCACATAATTTCTAAGGAAGGAATTATTGTGGATCCAACTAAGGTAGAAGCTGTTTCTAAATGAAAGTGACCAGAAAATCCTACGAATTTTGGAGTTTCTTAGGGTTAGGCGGATATTACCGTCGGTTTATCAAGAACTTTTCTAAAACTAAAAAACCTTTAACCGAGTTGACTAAGAAGCATGGCAAGTTCATATGGGATTCTAAATGCGAGAAAAGATTTCAAGAGTTGAAAAAGTGTTTGATCGAGGCACCTGTGTTAGCATTGCCGAGCGGAGGAGATGATTTTGTGATTTATACAGATGCTTCAAAGGATGATTTAGGGTGTGCATTGATGCAAAGTGAAAAAATGATTATGATGTGCGGCGGATCTAGACGAACACCAAGTTGGGATGATTTACGGAACTTTGACCCTTCTAGAATCACAAGCCACGAACTAAGGAGATTCCTTAACCCAAGACTAGCAAATTTAGTGAACCAGAAGTATAGTTAGAAGAACGCCACAACCAAGGAGACTACTTGATTGATAAGTTCAATGAACAGCTTGAGATTGATTCTCAAGTATTCAAAGGAAATTCTCTTGAGGCAAGAGAGAGTGAAATAACTCATATATATTTTATAAAATCTGAATTGTCCTTTAATGAATGAAAACCTAGGCTATATATAGCCTTACAGGACTCAAACCCTAGAATGTCCAATGGACGACCTTGCCCTTCATTAAGGGTGAAAATATCTAACAACTAATTGACTAAAATTAAGACTCTGAATTCGGCCAAAGTGAAGTGAAAATTGACCGAAATTATTAATGCTAACAAACAACTAATAATGGTAAATAAAACCCTAATTAGCAAGCTAGTGCTCCGTGAACTAGTCTTCACTTGGTTCTTCCATTTGAAGGAAAGTGTATAGAGTAGTTTCTCCATTATGTAATCCTTCAATGGTCCTCAAGTCATCACCAACTCGTTCTTGAATCGTGCAAACAAAAGCTTGAAGTGATTCTTGAATTCTCCTAGCACGCGCTCTTGTAATTGGACCACTGGGTATTTGCATGACCTGAGCACTAGAAGTTTGAGCAGTCTTGAGCCCCTCCTCATTAGTCCCCTCCTCTTGAAGGCGATTTGTCCTCAAATCAAACTCATCGTCTGCATGAAAAGGACTCAAGTCAGATACATTAAAAGTAGCATGTACCCCATACTCACCTGGAAGTTCAAGTTTGTAGGCATTGTCATTTATACGCTCCAGGACTTGGAATGGACTATCTCTCCGTGGGAGTAGCTTACTACGCCTTTTGACTGGGAACCTCTCTTTGCGCATGTGTATCCATACCCAATCGCCAGGCTCAAAGATCATCTTGCGGCGCCCCTTGTTGGCACTGTGGATGTATTGAAGTGTACGCTTCTCGATGTTGGCTCGCACCTTAGTGTGTAACTCACGGACATATGCAGCTTTGTTCTTACCATCCAAGTTAACTCTCTCATGAACAGGTAAAGGAGTTAAATCCAAAGGTGTGAGAGGGTTACAGCCATACACAATTTCAAACGGCGAATAATATGTAGCAGAATGGACAGTGCGATTGTATGCAAATTCCACATGTGGTAAGCAATCTTCCCAAGATTTAATGTTCTTTTTAATAATTGCGCGCAATAGGGTAGATAAAGTCCTATTAACAACTTCGGTTTGACCATCAGTTTGTAGGTGGCTAGAAGTAGAAAATAGCAATTTAGTACCTAGTTTACACCACAAAGTTTTCCAAAAATAGCTAAGGAATTTGGCGTCCCTATCAAAAACAATAGTGTGTGGCATGCCATGTAATCTAACTATCTCACGAAAGAATAAATCTGCAACATGTTTAGCATCATCTGTTTTAAGACAAGGAATAAAATGGGCCATTTTGGAGAAGCGGTCAACTACCACATAGATTGAATCATGTCCTTTTCTAGTCCTAGGTAGTCCAAGCACAAAATCCATTGACAGATCAACCCATGGTTCATGTGGAATTGGCAAAGGCGTATAGAGACCATAAGGGTATACCTTTGATTTTGCTTGGTGACAAGTCACGCACCTTTCAATGTGGCGTTCCACGTCACTCCTCATGCGTGGCCAGAAGAAATGTTCTTGGAGAATCATTAAGGTCTTGGCAATGCCGAAGTGTCCCATTAGCCCTCCTCCATGAGATTCTCTTACTAAGAGTGTGCGCATGGAGCTCTTGGGAATGCAAAGCTTGTCCTTGTAGTATAAGAACCCCTGAGAGACGAAATAATGCTCACGAGCGTGTCGTGGCAAGGAGGAAAAAATCTCACCAAAATCTGAGTCAGTTGCATAAAGTTCTTTAAGGAATTCAAAACCAAGCAACTTAGCATCTAATGTAGTGATAAGTGTGTGTCTTCGCGAGAGTGCATCAGCCACTACATTCGTCTTACCTGTCTTCTATTTGATCACAAAGGTAAAACTGTCAATGAAGGTAATCCATCGTGCATGTCGCTTACTCAACTTGTCTTGGGACTTGATATGCTTGAGCGACTCATGATCTGTGTGCAAGACAAACTCACGAGGGCGAAGGTAATGTTGCCATGTTTGTAGAGCTCGCACTAAGGCCATTAGTTCCTTATCATAGGTTGAGTAGTTTAGAGCAGCTCCATTCAACTTCTCGCTAAAGTTGGCAACTGGGCGGCCCTCTTGAAGTAAAACAGCGCCAATACCTATACCAGAAGCATCACACTCTACTTCAAAAGCTTTGTCAAAATTAGGTAAACTAAGAACAGATGCATGTGTGAGCTTGTGTTTAAGTAATTGGAAAGACTTAGCTTGTTCCTCTCCCCAATGAAATTGCACATCTTTCTTGACAATTGACGTAAGTGGGGCAGCAATTGTGCTAAAATCCTTGACAAAACGCCTATAGAAGCTTGCCAAGCCATGAAAACTTCTCACCTCACTTACAGTGGTAGGGGTTGGCCATTCACTAATAGCCTTCACCTTGTCTTGATCAACATGAATTCCCTGCTCACTTACAACATAGCCTAGGAAAACCAATTGATTTGTGCCAAAGGTACACTTCTTAAGGTTAGCGTAGAGGCTCGCCTTGCGAAGTGCATCTAGGACCATTTGTAAATGCACAACATGCTCATCTAGACTCTTACTATAGATCAAAATGTCATCAAAGTAAACGACCACAAATTTACCAATGAAAGAACGTAAAACATGATTCATGAGTCTCATAAAAGTACTTGGTGCATTGGTTAGCCCAAAAGGCATGACCAACCACTCAAAAAGTCCATGTTTTGTCTTAAATGCAGTTTTCCATTCATCTCCTTCTTTCATGCGAATTTGATGGTAACCACTTTTCAAATCAATCTTAGTAAAAATGATTGCACCATGTAATTCATCAAGCATGTCATCCAAACGAGGTATGGGATAGCGGTACTTTACCGTGATGGCATTAATTGCCCTATAATCAGTGCACATTCTCCATCCTCCATCTTTCTTTGGAACAAGTAGAACTGGTACAGCACAAGGGCTTGGACTCTCTTTAATCCAACCCTTACTAAGCAACTCCTCCACTTGTCGTTGTTGCTCCTTGGTTTCCTCAGGATTGGTCCTATATGGTGCCTTGTTTGGAAGGGAAGATCCAGGAATGAAATCAATTTGATGTTCAATTCCCCTTAATGGAGGCAATCCATTAGGTATATCCTCAGGAAAGACGTCTTGATACTCCTGTAAGAGGTTAGTAATAACACTAGGCAAAGAAGCATCAAGAGCATTAGTGAGTAAGGATTCCTTGCCAAATAAAATAAATAAAACCTGATTAGAATGCAAGGCCTGTCTCACATCTTTCACCTTGGCAAGCATGCTGGGTTTTCTCTCCTGCGTGGGCTCTAAGGCCGAATGAGAGTGGTCCAATTTGCTTGAAGAAGGGTCGGCCGTCACTAATTTCTTAGCTTTGGCGTTGTCCTTCTTGGTGGTAGTATGCAAGTCATACTCTTTTTGTAGACTAACTTGATCCTCATGCACTTGTTGAGGTGTAAGAGGTGCAAGTGTAATCTTTTTACAATTATGTATGAAAGAGTATTTGTTCAAGAAACCATCAAAAGTGACTCTTTTGTCAAATTGCCAAGGACGCCCTAAGAGTATATGTGCAGCTTGCATTGGTACTACATCACACATAACATCATCTTCATACCTACAAATGCGAAAAGTAACCAAAACTTGTTTATGAACACGTACCTCTCCACTGTTGTTTAACCACTGAAGCTTGTAGGGACGGGGGTGCTCACTAGTTGGAAAGTTTAGTTTCTCCACCATCAATGCACTAGCAACATTAGTGCAACTTCCGGGGTCAATCACCAAGCTGCATACCTTGTTGGTCACATGGCACCTAGTGTAAAAGATGTTGTCACGTTGAAGCTCATCTTTACTAGCTTGAGTAGCTAGTGCTCTCCTTGCTACCAATCCAACTTTGTCTTGAGTTGGAACTTCCTCTATCTCATCTTCCTCTTCAACCAAGGAAGGCATGTCTTTGTACTCCTCCTCTTCATCATCAGTGACAATGTCTCCATTTGGTAGCACAAGCATGGTCCTTGGATTTGGACATTGGCTTGCAATGTGCCCAACTCCTTGATACCTCCAACATTTGGTGTCACGATGCCTAGGTTTTGAAGTTTCCATTGTTGATTTTGAAACAACCTTGGAGTCTGTTTTTGGAAAAGGTGGCCGTGAGCTGGTCCCTTGGTCTTGCTTCGGCTTTGGAGTGTTCCAAACATTCGGACCTCTCTCCTCCCTTCTGGGCTGGAATGGTCGAGTAAATGGTTGCGGATTAGGGTTATAATTTCTGGTGGTACCCCTCCGCTTGAGCCTTTGCTCAATATTGATAGCCTTTTCCACCATATCTTCTATCTCCACATAGTATTGAAGCTCAAGTTGATCGGCTATTTCAACCCTCAGACCACTGAGAAATCTTGCCATTGTAGCCTCTCGATCTTCTTGAATATCAGCTCTCAACATGGAGATTTCCATGTCCTTGTAGTAGTCCTCAACTGAGCGTTGACCTTGTGTCAAGGTTTGAAGTTTTTGGTACAAGTCTCTATGGTAGTGACTTGGTACAAATCGCTTCTTCATCAGTCTCTTGAGCTCAGTCCAAGTGGTTATAGCTGGTTCTCCACACCTTCTCCTGCTTGTAGCCACTTGTTCCCACCAAACTATGGCATAGTCGGTGAATTCTACTACGGCAAGTCTCAATTTTTATGCATCGGTGTAGTCATTACAATCGAATACTAGCTCCACTCGACTTTCCCATTCAAGGTATGTATCCGGATCAGATTTGCCTTGGAATGGAGGAATCTTCATCTTAATCCCTTTGATCGCATCACTAATGGCTCTTGTGTTTCTCCTCGGTCTTCTTTGCTCGAATGCCTCATGATCTGAATCGGCATTGGAATCACTAGATTCCTCCAGGGTGGATTTTTCCCTAGATTTCCTAGAAGAAACCCCAGATGAACTTAGTTGATCAATCTGCTCATGGATTGTTTCCAGCCTTTGGTCAAATCTCCTCTGCATTTCCTTCCACATATCATCCATTTTACGTGATAACTGAGCAATGGTAAGTTCATTTTCCTGAGACATGGTGAAACCTGCAAAACTTGACAAATTGTTAGTACAAAATGCCTCACTTGCTCCCTTAAGTGTTTCACTCCTCTTGTGTTTTCACTCAAGTGCTTATATCACTCTAATGCTCTCACCAATTCACTTCTCAAGCCACTTGATTGTTTCCTTTGAAGAAATCAGAAATTTTTTCAAAGAAGTTCAATCGAACCTTAATCAAATAGTATCCAATTGTACCAAAGGAACAAGAAGCAAGAGTAGAAACGGAAAGCTCAAGTAATGAATTCGATAAGGAATGGAATGTCCAAGTACAGTGATGGAGTTTCCCAAGTGTTTACTTAATTTCCTAATTGATTTTGGGAACCAAGTTAGGTGTTGGATTTATTTGGAAAATTCCTTAAAGTCGGCTAACCAAATCAGAATTGTTACCAAAAAATTTCCAGATTTCGTACCCCTTAACCTTCCTCAAAATCGGCTATACCAAATCAGGGTTATTTCCAAAAATTTTCCAGATTTCCTTCTCCTTATGCCTTTCCTAAAGTCGGCTGGTCAACCAAGTGTAAAACAGATTTTGGTAGCTTCCTATTCTACCCGAAACTATCCTCCAAAAAATTCCAGAATTTCCTCTTCTTAAATCCCTCTCAAAGTCGGCTAGAACTTCTAAAAAATTGTCCAGATTTGGTAGCTTCTAAATTTTCCAGAATTTCCTCTTCTTAAAGCCGATCCTTACCCCCCAAAATTTTCGTCCCTTACTCTCCCTCAACAAACAAACAATTCGGCCCCCCTCCTCTTTGCTCCACACAAGGACAGTTTTGACTCTTGGTCCTAAGCAATGGCGTCACAAGATAATGCAAGAGATGTTACACAAGAATTCCCCAAGCGGCTTGCCCAAGAAACCTCCAAGAAATTTTCTCCTAAAACAAGAAAGCCCTGTATGGATGCAAGAGCGTACAAGAAACTTTTTGTACGAAGGGAGGTACAAGTCTTCAAGAATCAAGATGATCAAGAATCTCAAAAATCTCAACGGGTGATACAAGTGATCAAGGCTCAAGGTGCTCAAGATTTTCAAGAGGAGGTTGGTCAAAACTTTTGAGTAGTCTTTTCTTGATGTAATTTTCTGGTTTGTTGGAACAATTGCAACAAGACAGAATTTGGCAAATAAAAGTGCGGCTTCCTTCTTTGTTGTTTGCTACCCGAATGCCTTTTCTCTTTTCCTTTTTCTGTTTTTGTTTTTTTTTTTTTTGACTCTAAGAACACACAATTACTCGGCTGTTTTTGGGTAAAAATTCCAGAATCTAATGTCAATCCAATGTTCTCCTTCAATCCTCCAATAATTATCAAGACATGTATCAAAGTTTCAAGACTTCAAGATTAGTTTCAAGAAACTCAAGAAACCCTAGATTATGGTAGTCCCTCTCCAAGATTCCAACCCCAAACAAGTTTAACCACAAAAATCAGTTTAGGAAATTAATGAAAACAACTTGGTGGAATAAACTAAAGTTTGGACGGATTTGGCAAGAAACTTGCGCCCAAGGAAACCCTAGTTGCAAGTGAAAACCCTAGCCGTCGCGACAAATTTTTTTTTTTTTTTTAATATTCAAACAGAATATGCAAGGCACACAACTCGGTTACACTTGAAGGCAGGCTTCAAGACAGAATCACACAACAAGTAATGCACGAAGTGGCTGCGAAGCAAAAGAAAACAAAGAGCTACGCAACAAGAACAAACAAAGGCGGACAGAATTTTTTTTTTTTTTGTAAAAATAATCGGACTTGACACAAAGAGAGACACAACCAGTTTTGCAAGATAAAATTTACTAGAAAGCTTACGAACAAACTCAACAGGATATACTTGATGTCGTCGACTAGCTCTGATACCAACTGATGTGCGGCGGATCTAGACGAACACCAAGTTGGGATGATTTGCGGAACTTTGACCCTTCTAGAATCACAAGCCACGAACTAAGGAGATTCCTTAACCCAAGACTAGCAAATTTAGTGAACCAGAAGTATAGTTAGAAGAACGCCACAACCAAGGAGACTACTTGATTGATAAGTTCAATGAACAGCTTGAGATTGATTCTCAAGTATTCAAAGGAAATTCTCTTGAGGCAAGAGAGAGTGAAATAACTCACATATATTTTATAAAATCTGAATTGTCCTTTAATGAATGAAAACCTAGGCTATATATAGCCTTACAGGACTCAAACCCTAGAATGTCCAATGGACGACCTTGCCCTTCATTAAGGGTGAAAATATCTAACAACTAATTGACTAAAATTAAGACTCTGAATTCGGCCAAAGTGAAGTGAAAATTGACCGAAATTATTAATGCTAACAAACAACTAATAATGGTAAATAAAACCCTAATTAGCAAGCTAGTGCTCCGTGAACTAGTCTTCACTTGGTTCTTCCATTTGAAGGAAAGTGTATAGAGTAGTTTCTCCATTATGTAATCCTTCAATGGTCCTCAAGTCATCACCAACTCGTTCTTGAATCGTGCAAACAAGAGCTTGAAGTGATTCTTGAATTCTCCTAGCACGCGCTCTTGTAATTGGACCACTGGGTATTTGCATGACCTGAGCACTAGAAGTTTGAGCAGTCTTGAGCCCCTCCTCATTAGATTACGTATGCCTCTCGTAAGTTGAAACCTCGTGAACGGAATTATCCGACCCATGACTTGGAGTTAGCGGCAGTAGTTTTTGCCTTGAAAAAGTGAAGACATTATTTATATGGAGTGACTTTCGAGATTTTCATGGATCACAAGAGTCTCAAGTATTTGTTCTCCCAGAACGAGTTGAATTTGAGGCAACGTAAATGGGTAGAATTCTTGAAGGATTATGACTATTCACTTAACTACCACCCTGGAAGAGTTAAGGTAGTGGTGGATGCCCTAAGTCGTAAAGTGCAAGTGGCCAGTTTAATGGTAAGAGAATGACACATGCTAGAAGAAATTAGTATTTGAAATCCGCGTCTTGAACCACAGAGGATAATCTTTGAAAATATTACTGTGAAATCTACTTTGTTAGATCGAATCAAAGAAGTTCAAAAAGGAGACCCTGAAATGCAAAAATGGGTTGAGAAAATTCAAAAAGGGGAAAATTCTGATTTCAATTTAGGGACCGATGGAGTGTTAAAGTTTAGAAATCGCCTAGTGGTACCCAAGGATGAAGGTCTAAAGAAGAAATTTTGGTCGAAACTCATCGTTCTAAATATATGGTGCACTCTGGAGGCAATAAGATGTATCAAGATTTGAAAAGCCTTTATTGGTAGGAGAATATGAAGAGAGAGATTGCTCAATTTGTTCGAGCTTGTCTCACTTGCCAGCAGGTTAAGGCCGAGCATCAGAAACCATTTGAATTATTACAGCCGTTAGAGATACCTGAGTGGAAGTGAAAAAATATCACAATGAATTTTGTATCAGGGCTACTAAGGATTCAGAAGGGACATGACACTATTTGAGTAATAGTGGATAGATTGACCAGATCTACTCACTTTTTGTCGATTAGTATGAAGTACTCCTTGAAAAAGTTGGCTAAGTTGTATTTGCACGAAATTATAAGATTGCATAGGATACCAGTGAGTATAGTCTCGAATTGGGACCCTAGGTTTGTATCTCGATTTTGGCAAAAGATGCAAGAGGGCCTGGGGACTAAACTGAATTTTAGTACCACTTACCACCCGCAGACCGATGGACAATCAGAAAGGACAATCCAAACCCTAGAGGATATGTTGAGGTCGTGTATTGTGGACTTTGGACAGAATTGGAGTCAGTATCTTACGTTGGTGGAATTTGCTTATAAATACAATTTTTTTCTTCAATACAAATGGCTCCTTGTGAAACTCTTTATGGTCGAAAATGTCGATCTCCGATTCATTGGGACGTAGTTGGAGAAAAGAAGATTTTGGACCCGACTACTGTACCTTGGCTTGAGTAAGCTTATGAGAAGGTGAAATTGATACGTCAGAGGATCTGAACGGCTCAAAGCCGTCAAAAGAGTTATGCGGATAATCGGAGGAAGGATTTAGAATTTGAGGTTGGAGATAAAGTATTTCTTAAAATTATACCCTTGAAAGCAAGTCTAATGGCAGGAAAAGGGAAGAAATTACAACGGAGATTTGTAGGACCCTAAAAGGTTATTCAACGCGTAGGAAGTGTAGCTTACAAGTTGGAATTGCGTTTGAATTTGTCCAGGATTCATAATGTCTTCCATGTCTTCATACTTAAGAAATATTATCCCGACCCGTCCCATGTGTTATGACCGGAAGAAGTAGAGTTTGATGAGAATTTGTCCTATGAAGAAAGATCGGTAAAACTTGTAGATCGAAAGGTGAAGGAGTTAAGACGTAAGCAAATCTCTCTAGTGAAGGTTTTATAGAAAAATCATGGAATAGAGGAAGCGACTTGAGAAGTAGAAGAGGAGATCCGGAAGAAATATCCAGAGTTGTTTCCGAATCAATGTATGAATTTTGAGAACGAAATTCTTTAAGGGGAGAAGGATGTGAGGATCCGAATT